TATTTTTGGCTATTGCTACAAATATACCCCAGCGACTTAAGACTGGTTTTGTGGTCCAGGGTCACATATTTGTTATTTTCAGTCTGTGACTTGTCACTAGCTTTGACATCTGTACTGTCCTCATTCAGGCTTGCTCAGGGTGAAATGCAGCAGCAGAACTTGACAGATGCCATGCGGGAGGCTCAGAAACCACTAGCGAGACACATTGACGATGAAGACCTCGATCGGATGTTGAGGGAGCAAGAGAGGGATGGAGACCCAATGGCTGCCATGCTTCGCAAAAAGAAAGAAAAAAATGCTCAATTAAAAGGAATCAAAGGTAAATGTGTGGAATAATGCCCAAGTTTCCACATTTGATCCCTGTTGTTTGACTGTTACTTTTAATAATAATACGATTTTTACTTTTAGTTTGTGTTTGTGTTTTAGTATATTTTTCTAATATATAGAATCAAACTTACAGAGATTGATCTTAAAACAAGCCCAGACCACAGTACTAATTGCTATAATTTGTGTTTTAATGTTTTTCTCCAGAAAAACCTCGTTACAAAGGTCCACCTCCACCTCCGAATCGTTTTAACATTATGCCAGGGTATCGCTGGGATGGAGTTGATAGGTAAGAGGTTTTGATGAATGATATCTGGTTTGATATATCACAAGCACACTAATGCAAACCCCAGAAAATAGTTTAAATGACTTTTCATATGATCTTTTAGGTCCAATGGTTTTGAGCAGAAGCGGTACAGCAGGATAGCCGATAAGAAAGCTGTCCAAGAAATGGCGTACAAGTGGAGTGTGGAAGACATGTAAATCCAGATGAGTGTATAGAGATTCATGATTTAAAAACTGAAATGACTGGCATTAGTACAGTTCCCACTGCACCTGCACACACTGCAAAGTGGAACTTCTTTGTGTGCCATCAAGAATCGAGGCGTTTCATCAAAAACCAAGATGTTTGTGTGCAGTTATCGGTCCACTGTGTACAAGAAACATACTTTCCTTATTAAATGCTACTTTTTTAACACATCTGTTTTGTCCTGATTTTCGTCAGTGCCATTTCAAAACCAATAATTTTATTTAACAACAAATTTAGAGATGGACTTGATGATAGCAAACAATATTGTTTTATTTTGGAGAAAACTTTATTTCATAATGTGATTTTTTTTTTTTTCGCCCCACTTTCAATTGTTTTACTTATACGTTTAGTTTAACAGAATTTAATTGAAATAGAATGTTTTGGAAACATTATAAATGCTTTTACTATCACTTCTGATGAATGTAATCCATTCTTGGAGAATAAAGTAGTAATATATATATATATATATGTACACTGCCGTTCAAAAGTTTGGGATCAGTAAGACTTGTAATGTTTTTTAAAGAAGTCTCTTATGCTCATCAAGACTGCATTTATTTGATTAAAAATACAGGGAAAAAAACCAGTAATCTTGCAAAATGTTATTACAATATAAAATAATGGTTTCTATTTTAATATCCTTTAAAATATAATTTATTTCTGTGATGCAAAGCTGAATTTCCATCAGCCATTACTCCAGTATAAAGTGTCACATGATCCTTAAGAAATCATTCTAATATGCTGATTTATTATTAGAATGATCAATGTTGGCAACAGTTGTGCTGCCAAATATTTTTTTGGAAACTGCGATACTTTTTCAGGATTCTTTGATGAATAAAAAGTTAAAAAGAACAGCATTTATTCAAAATACAAATATTTTTTAACAATATAAATCTTTGCTATCACTTAAAGATTTAACACATCCTTGCTGAAAAAAAGTTTTAATTTCTTTCAAAAAAAGAAAGAATAAAAATGTACTGACCCCAAACTTTTGAATGGTAGTGTATATTGTTAGAAAATATTTGTATTTTGAATAAATGCTGTTCTTTTTAACTTTTTATTCATCAAAGAATCCTGAAAAAGTATCGCAGTTTCCAAAAAAATATTTGGCAGCACAACTGTTGCCAACATTGATCATTCTAATAATAAATCAGCATATTAGAATGATTTCTGAAGGATCATGTGACACTGAAGACTGGAGTAATGATGCTGAAAATTCAGCTTTGCATCACAGGAATAAATTAGATTTGAATGTATATTAAAATAGAAAAACGTTATTTTCCATCATAAGAATATTTCACAATATTACATTTTTTCCTGTATGTTTGATCAAATAAATGCAGCCTTGATGAGCATAAGAAACTCCTGTAAAAACATTAAAAATCATTCTGATCACAAACTTTTGACCGGTAGTGTATATATATTACTGACCCCAAACATTTAAACGGTACTGTATAATAAGACATTTTCAATATATTTTCTTTGAATATCTAAAGATATTAAATGTCATGTAGTACAGTTGAAAGACACAAAAGTAAAGCTGACTAACATAAATGCATGGATTAAAGAAGCTTTTTGTGTTATTTATGCATCCAGTGTATAAATGCACTTTGATGGTTTTCTCTGGCCTTCATCAGTCATCTACAGCTGTTCTTTGAGTCGGGCAGGCGGTGGGCGTGCGTGCACAGAGACATCCCAGCCTGGGAAAGCCTCTTGCTGCACTGTTTTGTATTCAGCTCTGTACAACACAGATTTAAATTAATTACTTTAAAAATTTTTTTTAAGATTTTAAGTAAAACTGAATGCAAGTAAGTTCAGTGGTCTTGCCTCATTGAAGTGTTGATCGCCAGGTTGTCAGGATGAGGTACAACCTGATTTCTCCTGACATAGATTTTCTTTGGAGCAGGGAAGTCCTGCTGGTAAAGAGAACATCTCTGTGCTTGGCCAGTCCTGTTTTCTCTTGCGGGGACTTTTCCATGCCACACGATTGGAGTGCCATCTGGTTTGTAATGAGGGTAATCCTCTCTATTTGTTGTGCTGAAACTCCTGTCACCTGCAATTACATAGAGATATTTGGCACAGAGATCTACAAAATAGGTTAGGTAAGATAGTTTATAGCTTTCCAAATCGATGCCAATTCATTATTTTCTAGAATTTCAATGAGTTCCATTTCATCTAGAGTTAGGCTGCACTGTAATATATTTTTTAAATGTAATTTATTCCTGTGTTAGCAAAGTTGTTTTTTTTTCTGCTGCCATTACTCCAGTCCTCGGTATACTCAAGAAACATTTCTTATTGTTAAAGAATTTGTTGATGGAAACCATGAAATTCTTTGATAAATAAATGTAAATACATTTTTTGATCAATGTAATGTCTCCTTGCTGAATAAACATATTTCTGTTTTGTTGTTGTTTTTTAAAATATTGACCCCAAATTTTTAAACAGTAGTGTATATAAATAATACTATATAACATATAATGTAAATATCTTTAGTTTTTTCCAGCCCTCTAATCTTGTCTGCCAAGGAAATCAGTTATTTAATAATGAACTTAATAAAATAGCAGTTATGTAGTGATAGCTAATATTTGACTCACAGATCTGCAAAATAGGTAAGTTTACAACAGATGGTTTGTAGCATTTCTAATAGATCCTAGTTAATTATTTTCCCAAATTCCAATTAGATTCATACCATCTAGGGTTAGGCTGCACTGTAGGATCTTCTTTGGCTCTACCTTTGGGCAGGTTTTGGGTCCAAATTCAGTTTCTGTTGTGGTTACCATCTTTTCCCGCTTACCAGGGTAGAGCAGTAAGCCTGAAGAGAATATTTGTCAGCATTTGTCTTTTTGTAAGTGACACTCATTCAAATATGCTTTAGTTTATTATCTGAATGTCATGTACCATTTGCTGACTGTTACAGACCTAACTATAGTCATATGTCTTTGGCAATTCTGAATGAAAGCTGAGGACAAATGAAAATCTGCTCGTTTCCCTGCTTACCAGCCAAAGAAGGAAGTTCTCCCAGCATTGGAAAGGCTTGTGGGTGTTTCAACGTCATTTGACCGTTTTTGAGGAGCAATATATCTGTTCTACGTTGGTGACCAAATGGGATTCTTAGAGATGGTCTCTGCTGCTTGCTGAGTGTCTTCTCATGAGTAGTCATCTTTGAATTACTGGTGAGACTGAATATATTTAAGCTTGTAAAAATATTTTTATTTTATTATATTTTTAAACGAATGAAGGGGATTTAAAGGTTATGCTGGTTTCAGTTTTAATCAGTAATTTTAATCACTTAAATATTTTCTAATGATATGTTTACTTGTGCACTATATATATTCAGAGTATAATTATTGGCTGATTTCAAAACCTTTATAGAATTTAAAATGATTTTACCTTGTCCTCTTTGTCCTCCTTGTCCTCCAATTAAAAGAAGTGAACTCGCCCCATGCATCGCACATATTCTTCCTGTGAATTCGATTTCTGAGCAGTTTGGTAGCTGCTGATTTTTTTTTACATTCTGGCAGCACAGTGGCATGTTAGGGAATGGCTGTTGCACTCAGTTAGCGGCTGTTGCCATGGCTGCTCTATTCTTTATAGAAAGCCTGAAGTGTGATGGACTCAGCTCAAGAACAATGAGTGTTCTGTAATAAATACCATAGACTGACGAGACGTTGCACTTGTGCTCAGCATGAGACTCTTAGTTTAATCAAACCTGAATAAAAACAGCCGGGCTCAGTATCTCGATATTTATGCTTTAAAAAAGCTCAATTTATTAATGGATGATAACCAAGAAAACATATTGTTATTATTCCCCTAATGTTATTGTATGGTTTGGTTATTTCTTTGGGAACATTGTAAGGTATGTTTTAGGCTGCTCTTTTCAGCTTTTACTTTTAAATAACCATAAATTAACAGACCTTAGAAAATTCTGGGAAATTATTAGCTGGGTAAACGTTACATTTATATATTTATTTATTTAGTTTGTTATA